AGATGAATTTAAAATTTAAATTTAATGAATTCAACATTTAAGATTCGTAAAATTAAACTTATTATACGGTTAAAATTATGAGTCTAAATTTAATATTTATTGAGAGTTTAGTGAGTTTTTACATATATATATCTATATTCTATGTCGAAATTTATAAATTCACATAATCCTGTAGCTATAGGGCGAATGTAGCCCCTGCACTTATCCTTGAGGGATTGAGATAGATTGGATCTCTCTGTTTTTATTAAAAAATCTCGGGTTTAGATTTCGAAAATAAAAATTGATAATAAAGTTGCTTCCCTCTAATAGTTCTTAGTTCTAACATTGTTCAAATTCAAATTTTTCGGGAAGGTAAGCACCAAAAATCTTAATTCAGATATCAAATGACTATAAAATAAGTTTGGGGTTTATAGAAGTTCTTTTACTTTGTTTATTCTGACAAATTGTGTACTTTCTTTTTTAAGGCTAATAATTGAAAATCAAGATGAAACATATCTAAATAAGAATATGAAATGAATATTGAGAATTCATAGACTCTTCACTAACTATCCTCGATATGAAATGTAATAGCAGTTGACGTTTTACCAAAATAAAATAACAATTATATATTTATATCAATTTGACACTCGTATTAACTGGAATCTAAATGGAATGACTAGGTTAGTAATGAATTACACAATTATTTTCAACTATTTTCAGATTGAGACGTTGGTTAATAACGATTTATATAATCAATTTCAACTAATTTTAGATTGAGAGATTGGTTGGAAATGATTCAAACTAGTTTCAACTAAAGACATACTTCATCTGTTTCAATTTATGTATCTTATTTTTAATGTTTTTTTAAAACGAATGTCAACTTTTATATTTTAATGAGTTTTAAATTAAGAACTTGCTTATTTATTTTAATGATATACTCTTATAAGAATAATATGATATATTTAAGATCATAAATGTAAAAGAATATTAATGTGTTATAAATTTATATCACAACAGAAGCAATTCCAGTGTTATATTCGCGTGAAATTAAATAATTAGCACATATGAAAATTATACGAATTACCTCTTGAAGAACAAAGTAGATCAATCTCGGTCTCCAATTCCAGAGTAGCAAGACAACAACCTCTAGAAAACGTTATACGGTCTTCTACTGTGTTACCTAAATAATATCCCGAAAAAGAAAATTTTCGACGGGCGAAATTCCAAAAAACAAATGTGTAGAAAAACAGCCAACCTTATACCATGTGTATATAGCCATATTTTAGGGTAAAACCCTTTTCCAAAACTTGTTGGATTTTCTTTTTCCACAAAGGAAATGTTTCCTTTATTTCTTATTATTTAGGCACAGTAGGGACCACAAAATTTAATTAACAAGGCTCCCTATTATGGAATTAATTTTCGAAATTAATTCCTACCATAATAAATTACGAATTATTCCACTAAAAATTCGTAATTGTACTCCTTAGTTCAATTTCGAGATTCTTTCATAAAATTTTATTTAACTCGCCATGTTAAGATTCAGATACTAATCAATCAAATTAAATTACTGACAATTTAATTTATTGATTACTTCCTTTGGACTTTCGCTTAACTTATTTCATGTGTCGGATACAAATTCACCTGTCGGGTTTATACACAAAAACTTATAAGCTTTCATAAAGGAGTAACATCAATCCTAAAGTCGAGACCTAGATTCTATTAATTAATTATTATTTCGCCAATGTATAGCATTATTGTCCAAGTTACCAGGCTTATTGACCCACGAAAGAATCTCGTATTTTAATAAATTAAACAATAAATGACACAGACAACTAATAATAATTATATCAAGATTAAGATTATACACTGAATGGATTAGAGAAATTATTTTATGAAGTCAGTATAAAATATTTATCTCTATTTGATCCATTCAATACATGCAAAATATACTAGCATAAGAAGTCGGAACTAAACCATTCCCATAATCAGGATAAATTATATTCAATCTTGTGCTACAACCCTTCCGATGGTTTGTCCAATTCCATCGTTAGATTGTGAACATAAACGTTATGACTTATAAGAACCGATTACTTAATCTTCCGTGTATAAGCTAAACTCTATACACTAAATCATCTACTATATAAGCAAAGGACACACAGACAAATACATGATCTATCTAAAATAAAATTTTATTTAAATTGAATAAATAAATAAACAATTGTTCTATAAAGAATACTATAACAATACGCATGGTTAGTGGCGGATCCAAGATTTTAAAGTCGCGGGCGCTCAAGGATAAAAATTCTAACAAAAGAGGGAAAACAAATTTAGTTGTGGGTGCTCACTCGATACTTATCCAATTTTTTTGTTATTCCTGTATAAATCTACTAGATCTAGTCAAAGACTATGAGTGCTATGTAGAAACGCCACTGCACATGATTATTGTATATCCTAACAATAAAGTTTTCTACTCTAAAACTGCAATTTAGAGTCCATTTATACCATCAAGAAAAAATTCAATTTGTTTTTTCAAAATTATCCTTATGGAACTAAACAGGGAATTATGGAGATCGAGCATTAAGGTTGTAGGTTAGGGGAAATTGTGATTTCTTTTTTTTTTCCTACATCGCATTAGAGTGAGACTAGCCAGTTAGGAATTAGTCTTAGGATGTTATTGATCAGCTACTGATGATGGGCTTTATCTGTTGTTTATTAGTATACCTTACATCTTTCTCGTATTTCCTATATCTCTTATATTGTTGTTATTTTGTTATTTTATGATATTTATGTTATGTTATGGATTTTATGGTATTTTATGTTATTTTATTATGAGTCTATTGATAATACTAATATAGTGTCTCTTGTTGCCTTCTTGAGCCGAGGGTCTCCTGAAAACAGCGCCTCTGCCCCTCGGGGTAGAGGTAAGGTCTGCGTACATATTACCCTCCCTAGACTCCACTTGTGGGATTACACTGGGTTGTTGTTATTGTACCCTTATGTACGTATCCCTACAAAGTTATTTACTCCTCACATTTGAGAAGAGAAGTAAGTGCTACAATAACTATGATGCAATATTTAATGAAAGATAGTTTTGTCACATTAACTATTTTTGTTTAAAATTTAATATTTCCTTAATAGATGTGCACAATGCAAATTGATCAAATATTATAAACCAAAAATATATATATAAATTATTAATTTAAAAATTTAATAACTCAAATTCAACAAAAATTTTAAATTTATAAACTTTAAATTCCGGCACAACCTCTACCTTTCCAATTCACTGGCCCCGTCCCTCAAACCTCTGAAGTCCAGAACTTAACGCATTACCGATCGTTCAGTACATGAATCTAACCAACGTACAATATAGAACACTTCTAATGACTATTATCTACACGTGCCATTCACGTGTTCAACAAGCCTTCACATGATTTAATACGTGGACCAATCAGAGCAGTCCATATCACCAGGCTACGACAAGAATAATCCTATGTTTCTCTTGGATAGTATATCCTTTCAATATTACCACCATATGCCCCACCTTTACTGGTATACAACCCAGTATATATTTTTTTCAGGTGTCAGTTCAGTTTCCCTTTTTATCTCTTCAAAAGTTTTTTACTTTTAAATTTAGTATTAATTACAATAATTTATATATTTTGCCTTCTGATTAATACAAATTTGCATGGCATAGATTATTTTTTTTCTCCAAAAAGCGCTTCTATCAGGGATTACTGTAGTTATAGGACTCAAATTTCAGACTTTTAACCGAGGGATTACTATTATTCTAGGTGCTGAGGCTGGTTTGATTTTTCAACTGTGCAAAGACTAATACAAAAATTATTATCGGTTGATAATAATAACATATTGAATTATTGCAAAACCACACGTTTTGATATCCTAGGTGCTGAGGCTGGTAGATTTAGAAATTATTTATGCAAAAACTTACAATGCAAACTTTAATATCAGTTGATAATTATATACAGTATAAATTATAGTAAAACCACACTTTTCCTATTCTAGGTGCTGAGGATGGTTTGGCTTTTCAATAATCTATGCAAAAACCATAACATAAAATTGTTATAAAATGATATATGAATTATTATAAGACAACAGGTTATCTATACTAGGTTTTCCACTTATATTATTTAAAAGCATATGAGTTTCAAGTTCTAACAGATATTTAAGACCCGTTTGGCCATAGATTTTATCAAAATAAATTTGGGTTTTATTTGGCAAACACATGTTTGGCCGTGGATTTTGCCTACATTTTGGCAAAATCCCAAAACTAGATCAATAGTTGGTTTTGGGCCAAAATATCACTATTATATTTTTTAAAAATTGCCCCAAACTTTTATATTTTATAAAAGAGCTCAATATTTATTATTTTGTAATAATGTTATTTCGTCTTCTCGATCATCTGATAGTTTATCATGTAGTTCATTATAAAAATGATAATTTTGTACCAAATTTATTTATGTTCAGAACTATGGTTTGCGATAATATAATGAATGTTATTGATAATGGTACTATTGGGTATTTGTGATAGTTTTTAGAATTTGTAGGTATAAGTCATGTTTCATGTTTTTTCAAAATAAATTTGGAAAATATGTTCTGAAAACTGATGTCCAAATACATTTTCATCTTCAAACCAAACTTCACCCAAATTAGATTTTTCAAAATAAATTTGGAATCTATAGCCAAACGCTAGCTTAAAAAGAAAGAGATAACTCTGGGTCAAATTATAGTTACAAAGAGATATTTTTTTTTGTATAAAATAAGTAACTACTATAAATCACATTGATATATCTAAAAATATTTCAAAATTTATCGAAAATTATATAAATAAAGCAAAATCTATTTGGCTCCATAGATAAAAATAGTAAATCATACTTTTTCGGAGGGAGCAGCTTCTTTCGAATATTCGCTATTGAGTTCCTATCTTTATGTCTTAACCCCCTACCCACCACCCCCCAACTTCTCCCCTATATATAACACAAAGCCCAATCATCTTTTTTCTCAAATTAAAACAACATTAATTTTTTTTCTTACCAAAATTTGAAGAACAAAATGTCTAGAACTAACAAAATGAAGAGAGTCACTGACCCGTTAGACGACAAAGTGAAGGCCCGAATCGTCGGCGGCTGCAATCTCCGGGAACTCGGTTACCTCAGCAGCGGCAGCGAACACAGCGCCGACACTGATTACGACTCCGCTTCAGTTTCCCCTAGCTTCTCCGATCTCATTTTTGGCTTCCCTGATGATGTGGTTTTAAATCAGTGGCCGGAAAATGACTCCGACTCCGACGAGTCCGTGCGTGAATCAGTTGTTTTTGATGAAAACTTGCCGCCGGTGATTTTTCAGAGCGATACGGATTCGTTTAGGAACATGCTGTGCTCTCACGTTTACAAAGCACTGGAAATGTTCTCGTGTTCGAAATCGAATGTTTTGCTATTTCGGAGGAGTGTGATGATGTATTTGAGAGATTTAGGTTATAATGCTGCTATATGTAAAGCTAAATGGGAGAGTTCCGGCGGACTTACTGCCGGAAGCTACGAGTACATTGACGTACTCCGATCGGATTCTGTCAACCGGCAAACTCGTTACTTCGTCGATTTGGACTTCGCGGTGGAGTTCGAGATCGCGAGGCCGACGAACTTCTACGAGCGGTTATCTCAGTCGCTGCCGAAGGTTTTCGTCGGAAAAAGCGAGGAATTGAAGCATATATTGAGGACGATGAGCGACGCCGCAAGGCGATCGTTGAAGAGCAGAGGATTACATCTTCCGCCGTGGAGGAAACACCGTTTCATGCAGAACAAATATCTCGGTCCGTACAAACGGACGGCGAATCTAATCCCGTCGGCGAACACTCCGGCGCTGTTGCCTCCATTGAAGCAGGCATACGCCGTGAAGTGCCGGTCTGTCGGCTTCGACTCCGCTTCCGTCAACGGCGGGCTCTGGTTTCCGGCGGTTACCCAGACTAGATGATGACAAAATTAATTTAATAAGTATATTTAGCATTTCTTTTTAGAGTTGTCGTTTAGTGTTGAACAAAACGTTGTCGTTTTGTTACCATGTGAAAGAGATAAAATGATTATCCACATTGTGTAACGCGGCAAATGCCCATTGTGTGCTATTGTTTTGTTTATTTAGCAAAAGATCCACGTGCTAACAGCTCATGATCTAAGGACCGTCAGATTGATGGAGTAAGATTGATCAATGGTCATAACTTTTTTGACTTTTGTAATAACTATGATAGTGGAATATTATTTAATGGATTGATGGTCCCAAGGAATAAATTAATTTATCGAAGGATGTTAGATATACCCCCCTCAAAAGAAGATATTTGAGGTTGACGTGGCAGTATTATTTGAGCATCTTTTTATTTTTTTAATGCATGACTAGCGATATTATTAAGGTTCTAAATTGTTGTGCATATGATGATATGTATTACCTAATGGATTGATGGACAACGGATAAATTATTTTATCTAGGGGTTAGATATACCCCACTAGAAGATATTGATGAGATTGACGTAGCAATATTATTTGTGCATCTTTTTTATTTTTTTTAACGTAATGTTATGGATGGCAAAATAGATAAATAATAAATATTCACCCATATTATTTATTGAAGAATAAATTAGATAATAAGTTTAAAAACGAATCGAATATAAATAAAATTATATTACTTATTTAAAAAATAAATAACTAATAGATAACTAATTGATTTTTTCGAGTGTAGATGATTAGGAATTTTTCTAAAGTAATCGAAGTCTGAATAATATGAATATATGAATATTTATATATTTGCCAGTTATTCTATTTTTATCTCTATTAAATATGAATCGAACTAAATAATTTATTTGTTTTGCATTATCTATTTTTTATTCGTCCCATCTTCGATTCGATCCGCCATTTTGCCACCCTTACGCAACATTAACCATATTAAAACCGGGGTTGAAGAATAGCTTATTTGGTCAGCTCCTGTCTTTTACATTAAGGTGGAGGTAGTAGCATATCATTTTCTTTTTTATCTCCTTTTCTCTCCTCTCCGTTGATGGGATAAAAGACGATCTTAGGGCCCATAGATGGTGAAGTAGGATAGACCCAACGATCATTTTTCGTCGTAACGACTATGACTGTGAAGTATTTTGGAGTATGTAATAGATTGATGGGTCAATGGATAAGTTATTTTATCTAGGGGGTTAGATATGTCCCTAAAAGAAGATATTGTTGAGGTTGACGTGGCAGTATTATTTTGAGCACCTTCGTTATTTTATAATACCCGAATTTTTCTTCCTTGCTTCCCTTTTCTTCTTATCCTTGGTGAATTGAGGGTATATTAGAAACAATTTCTCTATCTGCATTAGGTAAAAGGTAAGGTCTTCATACAAATTACTCTTCCCAAACTTTATATGTTGGGATCAAACTGAGTTAGTTGTTATTAAAAAGACAACAAGTTCATTCTTTTGTAAATGGAAGAATAATAATATATATATATATATATATATATATATATATTATCAATCATTTTTGGGAACAATTACACTATTGTTATGAATAAAATTATAATTAAAGTGGATATCTATCTTTTAGAGAGTTTTACTTTGTGACTAAGTCATTTTTTCCTACAAATAGAGGGGATCTTATACCATTGTAAATTATCCCAAAATTCAATAAAAAATACTCTCTTTCTCTACAATATTATTTTTCTATTTTTATTATTTTATTACACATTATCAGCACGAGACTCTACCGTCTCAAGAAGCTCTTTGAGAAGACTAAGGTATAACATTTCTCCTCTTAATTATTACTGATATCATGAAAAAAAAGTTCGTTGCCCTTGAAATTTCGGGCATGAACTATATGACATGGGTGTTGGATGCTGAAATCTTTTTAGATGCAATGGGTCTTGGAGACGCCATTAAAAATAAAAATAAAGCATCCACCCAAGTCTGTGCTAAGGCCTTGATTTTCTTGCGCAATCACCTTGATGAAGGGTTAAAAATAAAATATCTCAGAGTCAAAGATCTACTTGTTTTGTGGAGTGGATTAAAGGAAAGATATGACAACTTAAAGTTGGTCACTCTTCCACAAGCACAATATGATTGGGCTCATGTGAGGATTCAAGACTTTAAGTCTATTTCTGAATATAATTCTGCGATATTCAGAATTACTTCTAAATTGAAACTCTGTGGAGATATTATCATTGACTATGATATGCTTGAAAAAACGTTTACTACATTTCATGCCTCCAATATCGTATTGCAACAGCAATATAGAGAGAAAGGTTTCAAGAAGTACTCTGAGTTGATTTCTCTTCTGCTCGTGGCTGGACGAAATAACGAATTGCTCATGAGAAATCATGAAAATCGACCCATTGGGTCTATACCATTGCCTGAAGTGAATGAGGTCTATTCCCATTATACTAAGCATGAAAAAGGTAGTGGCGCTACTCGTGGTCATGGTCATGGTCGTAGCTGTGGCCGTGGCCATGGACAAGAAATTTTTTTTTCTGGTGTTAATCACCTCCAAAGAAAAATAATTACCAAAAGTGAAAAGGGAAAGATGAGAAGCCAAAGGCAAATGGTTCAGAAACTGAATGTTATCGTTGCGGTAAAATAGGGCATTGGACAAATATTTATCGTGTATCAAGACCTTTGGTTGAGCTTTATCAAGTATCTCTAAAGAATAAAGGCCCTGAAGCTAATTTTTTCTCTGACAATGATTTTGACATCACCCACTTGGATGTAACAGACTTCTTTGAGCACCATGATGGGAAAATAGACCAATTGATTGGTGATGGATCCGTGGTTAAAGATGATTGAGTAGTTTAAATTTTTTGTTATCAATGCAAGTTAATTATTAGATCATCACCAACAAAGGTTGGGATTGAGTCCCCCGCGTTTTTTGAATGTATACAAGGGGACATTTATAGATCTATTCATCCACCTAGTGGGTCGTTTAGATATTTTATGGTCTTAATAGATGTATATTCTAGATGATCTCATGTGTGCCTATTGTCATCTCTCAACCTCGCGTTTGTAAAATTAATGGCATAAATAATTCGATTACGGGCGAAATTTCCCGATAATCCAGTTAAGTCTATTAGACTTGATAATACTGTTGAGTTTTCATCCCAAGCATTTAATGATTATTGCTTATCAATTGGGATAAAAGTGGAACATCATGTAGCTCATGTTCACACTCAATATGGTCTTGCAGAGTCTTTAATTAAACGTCTACAATTGATAGAAAGACCGTTACTCATGAAAACGAGGCTGCCCACTTCTATTTGGGGTCACACCATTTTGCATGCAGCAATGCTAGTTCGTCTCAGACCGATAAATTATCATAAATATTTTCCGTTGTAATTAGTTTTGGGTTATGAACCTAATATATCTCATTTAAGAATTTTTAGATGTGCAGTATATGTGCCTGTAGCACCGCCATATAGCACCAAAATAGGCCCCCAAAGAAGGTTAGGAATATATGTTGGGTTTGAATCGCCCTCCATTATTCGCTACCTCGAAAAATTAACGGAAAATATTTTTACTGTACGATTTGGAGACTGTTGATTCGATGAGACACTTCTTCCAAAATTAGAGGGAGAAAATGGTGAAACAAAACCGAAAATTTTGTGAAAAAATTCATCATTTTCTCATCTTGATCATGTGTCTCTATTTGTAAAAAAGAGGTACAAAAGATTATCCATTTGCAAAGAATAGCAAATTAAATGCAGATACATTTATGGATCTGAAAAGAATAATAATATCACATATCCCTGCAGAGAATGTTCGATCCGTATTGCTGTACCTATTGGACAATCTTTTAGTGTCATAGCTAATGAGTCAAAAACACGCCTAAAACGTGGTAGACCATTGGTTTCTAAGGATAGAAATCCTAGAAAACGGAAAACAAATGATCAAGATGATACTACAAAAGAGTCTCATGAAGAAATTCACGATTTAACCAATCCTGATATTCATGAGGAAATCACTGAGCCTGAGACTCAAAAAAATAAGGAACTATCAATAAATCCAATCGATATTGAGACAAATTTGATGAATATAGTGGTAGATTATATCTTTGCATATAATATTGTATCTAGCATTATGCAAGATAGTGAGGATCTTGAACCTCAACCTGTTGGAAAATGTTGACAAAGACGTGATTGACCGAAATGGCAAGAAGCAATCCAATCAGAGTTGAATTCACTTGCAAAAATGAAGTATTGCGCATGTAGTCCAAACACCTAATGGTGTTAAGCCTCTTGGCTATAAATAGGTCTTTGTACATAAGAGGAATAAGAAAAATGAGATACAAAGATATAAGGCAGGCCTTGTTGCACAAGGCTTTTCACAAAGGCCTGGTGTCGATTATGAAGAGACATAGTCACCTGTTAGGATGCTATAACGTCTCATTATCTCATTAGTTTTGTTGTTCATGAAAAGCTTGACATGCATTTAATGGATGTGGTTACCACCTACCTTTATGACTCACTTGATAATGAGATATACATGAAAATTCCCGAGGGATTTAAAATGCCTAACGCAAATAATTCAAAGTATCGGGAAATATTTTCAATCAAATTGCAAAGATCTATTTATGGTCTAAAGCAATCAGGACGAATGTGGTATAATTGTCTTAGTGAGTATTTATTAAAAGAAGGCTATATAACTGATACCATTTACCCATGTATTTTTATAAAGAAAACAACATCGTAATTTCTCGTGTTTGCCGTATTTATCGATGACATAAACCTTATTGGAACTCCTACAGAACTCAAAAAGACAATTGATTATTTAAAGAAAGAATTCAAGATGAAAAATCCCGGAAAGACAAAATTATGTCTCGATTTGCAAATTGAACATTTGGCAAACGAAATTTTTGTCCATCAATCTGCCTACATAGAAAAGGTATTAAAACAGTTTTACATGGACGGTGCATATCCATTAAGTACTCCGACGGCTTCAATCACTTTATGTGAATAATGATCCATTCTGATCCCAAGAAGAGAATAAAGAGTTACTTGGTCATGAACTACCATATCTTAGTGCAATTGGTGTACTAATGTATCTTGCAAATACTACAAGGCCTGACATAACTTTTTCAGTTAATGTTTTAGCAATATATAGCTCTGCTCCCACATGAAGACATGAAATGGAATCAAACACATATTGCGGTATCTAAAAGGAACTACCGATATGGGCTTATTTTATGGAAATAATTGCAGTCCCGATCTTATTGGTTATGCTGATGCTGGGTATTTATCTGATCCACACAAGGCTCGATCTCAAACAGG